AAAAAAAAAAGGTTGAGAATTTAGAGGGTTAATATGTTGTGGGGTTGTTAACCAATGTCATAAAACAACATGTGTACTACTGTTTCACGGGAAACTATTTGTTCTGGAAGCCTTCACCTGAAGTACAATAAAATATATATAAAAAAAAAAAAGCCCAGTGATTTATGTAGCCTCACTTACTTTGTTCTACGAATGTCAAAATAATACTACAATAAGCCTAATGTGTTTAACAGACACATTGCTACATGTGCCTTAAAAAAAAAAAAAAAAAGAAACAAAACAGAAGCCAGTAGCAGGTGTGGGGTGGCTGACATAACGCCATCCCAGAGATGATGTTTAGAGTGGTTTGTGGTTAGTGCTCCTCAGACCGTATGACTGTGACCCAAAGTCCCTTCTCTGCCCCTCGGGAGGCTGCCCTGCCTAGCATCACCCGCTCTGCTAGGCCGAGAGCTTTTCCTTCCTCTATGCTTCTTGTACCTTGCTCTCTTTTCCAGGGAGGGAGCATTATATAGAGAAAAACACACAAAAACTAATTTAAAACACTTTAGGCTTTGGAATTAAATAGCTGTGCGTTAGAATCCCAGTTTTGGAACTCACTAGCTGTGGGTTGAATTTATTTAATCACTGCAAATGTCAATTTCCTCGCCTACAAAATTAGGGCTATTTTGAGAGAATATTTTACATCTGGCACTAGAGTTGGTGACTGTATTCTAGGCTCCGGGCCAAGCATTGTGGGTAATGGATAACATTTGACCCCTGGGCATCCTCACCACTGACCTGTTTGCACAGAATCTTAACTGGTCTCTAGCATTCATTCTTGTCCTCCTCCCAATCCATTTTCCACACAATAACAGCATGTGCTTTCTAAAAGGCAAATATTCAGCACAAAGTCCAAACTTCCTAATGTGGCACACATGACCTTTGGTGACCTCATGACCTACCTGATCCCTAAGTACCTCTCTAGCCTCCTCCCTCACAATTTCCACCCCCACTTCATCTCCTTCACTCTCTAAGCTCTACTGCTGTCCAATAGACTTTTCTCAGTAATGGAAATGTTCTATATCTACATGGTCCAATATGGTAGCTATACATGGCTATTGAGCACTTGAAAATATGAATAATGTGACTGAGGAGTTGAATTTTTAATTTTTTAAATTCTATTTAAAATTTATTAGTCATATGTGGCTAGTGGCTATGATATTTGAGGAAGAAGATGCATAAAACTTCTTTAGGTTCCCAACCAGTTATGTTCTCTCTTGCCTCTGGATGGTTGCCCTTGCTGTTCCCTCTTCTTAGAACATCTGTTCTTTGGCTAACTCTTTATTCATCCTTTATGTCTCAGCCTCATTGTCACTTGCTATATGCTTTCACAGCATAGCAAAGCATTGCATAGCAAAGCATAGCATGTAAACTCTGCTACTGACAAACATTCAACCAACATTTACTGGTGTAAGTAAAGCTATATTTCAGAACAATAATGCATCAGTTGTGCACTTTGCCTTCCACCAATAGATGTGCAAAAACGTTTTTCTCCCTAGTCTTGGCTATTCATTAATTCATGATGAAGGGCACCAATAGGTGGCCACAGGTAAAATGATTCATCCTACTAGTATGTTTTCTTTAGCTTTCACAGTATTTTTTAAATGGAGCCAACATTTTAAATTGAAGAGACTTTACCTAAAAAATATGGATGCCTAGATGCTCTGGAAAAATCAGGAGATCTACTCACACTGGACCCACATTTATTTCTGCTCAGCAATACATCAGCTGGACTCGTTGCCCAATGTGGTAGCCACTAGCCACATTCGCTATTTAAATTTTAAAGAAAAAAATTAGATAAAATTAAAAATTTGATTCCTTGGTCACACTGGCCACATTTCAAGTGCCCAATAGCCACATGTGGTTAGTGGCTACTGTATTGGACAGATACAGAACATATACATCACCGCAGAATATTCTGTCAGGTCGCACTGCCTAGAGGTAGTTGGGGAGGGCTGCTTCCTGCAGGGGGCACAAGTGCTCCTCAGGTTTCCGTGGCTCCGGCCGGCCCATTCATCCACTTACGATACCTACCTGACCCTGTAGGAATTTGAATTGGAGAACATGGCCCGTTGTTGCTGTGTGCCTTTGAGTTGACTCTGACTTATAGCAACCCTATAGGAGAGAGTAGAACTGCCCTCATAGGGTTTCCAAGGCTGTAATCTTTATGGAAGCAGACTGCCACATCTTTCTCCCACAGATGGGCTGGTGGGTTCAAACTGTCGAGTTTTTGGTTAGCAGCCAAGCACTTAACAACTGTGCCACTAGGGCTTCTAGACCCTGGTCCACCATGTGCTTTTGTGGTACTGCTTACTTTGGCAAAGTTCTGAAAAACATCACTAATCCTACCCCGCCAGGAATATACAAAAGGAGTACGAGCTGGAAGTGATACAAAAAAGTGAATATGAACGTAGGGATAATAAACCTAGAAAGTGCTGTGTGCATGTGTCATTGATGGGTTCCCAGGTAGAAATTGTTCTGAGGCAGGAAGCAAACCACAGTTGGAAAGCACTGTGCTTGTGATCCATACTCAGCCAAAGATGAGCAAATGCAACTGTCAACATGGAGTGAACCTGAGGATGTGACCTGCAGGGGCCACAGGCTACATAAATGATGTGGTCTGGGTACAGCAGAGAACTGGGCAGGAGGGAGGGCTTAGTGGGGATAGGCTTAAATCTTCCGACTTTTCCAGAAAAACCAGGGATCCAGATTTTTTTGTGTGAAATCTCTCTAATTTTAAATGCGAGCTCAAATGTTTTAGAAACACTGTCCAAGCAAAACAAAATGAGTTTGCCAGTCCGCTTTGGCCTGCAGGTGCCAGTTGGCAACCTCTGACCCCAAGGACTGGCAGCGGCATCAGAGGTGGGCCAGCCTGATGCAGATTCAGGAGAGGACTGGGTGTTGGAAAAAAGAGTAGTCCATGCAGGGGAAATAGTTCTGTAATCCAGGGACAATGGATGCATGAAATTCAGGCCACCTGGATCTGTCTGCAGGGTGTCAAAATGAGCAGAGCAGTTGAGCATGCTGATCACAAAGACACCTATCTCTGTCTTCAAGGTGTAATATCACATATACCCACAGACATTTGACTAAGCAAAATGCCCGTTTGTGCATGTACTTCTGACTTAAGTATATTCAAGTTCTTTTTCTAAATAGTTAATACCGGCTTTCTTTTTTTTTTTCAATATAGAAAGGTTTTTAAAATGTTGGGTTTTTTCTTCCCTCCAAATTACCAAGTGTATTTTCCTTGTTACTTTCCTCTCTAGACACAGATGGGTTTCTTAGGTATCATTTCTTGGAGCTATTTGTTTTTTCTTCTTAAATGTGGAAAAAACTATAAAAACGCAAGCTCACAGCATAAGATAAATGGCAACGGCGTGCAGGCGAGCTGTAGGCACATAAAATACAGATTTAAAGTTCTTAATGTTAACACGATACAAATTAGCTCAGCTAATTGGCTTCAAGTGCTCATTTTGCTTCCATTGTCAACATACATTCTAATACACATGGCCTTTGAGAAATCAACCCCCCACCATCACCAGCACCAAGATACAAACAGAGGTTCCCATCTTTCAAGTTGACTGCTGTTTAAATTTTGCAGTATAGTTCATAGCAACAGAAATAAATTTAACTAACTAGCCCCTTCAGCTGCGATTCCTTATTTTAAGCAGAGGGTGAGAGATTTCAGGGTAATTTAGAGAAGACTAACCAAAACTAGCTGCTGTTGACCTTGACTCATGGCGAACCCGTGTGTGTGAACAGCACTATGATCTATAGGGTTTTCAATGGCTTTTTCATAAGTAGCTTGCCAGGCCTTTCTTCCAAGGTGCCTCTGGGTGGACTCAAACCTCCAACCTTTCCAAATGTTTACACCACCTAAGGATTCCTTAGAGGAGACTAGTGAGTTTGACAAAGAAAAAAATTATTGAACAACTAAAGAGAAAAATGGGAAGTTATGTTTCTTTTTTTCTATCTACCTATCTACATATCTATTTTTCTGTCACATGTACCTCATAGAGTGATTTAATACTTATCTTGGGGAGGAAGCAGTTTTGTATTTTAAAATTCTCAAAACCAAGACTTGACTCCTCAGTCTCAGACATTTCCCATCTGTTCCTGCCAACAGTGTGGGTACGTGATGGCTAACCGTCCTTGCGGCAGACGGTGCTAATAGTAAGAATCTGTGGCTCTAATTACACAGAAAGTATTTTCATAATAAATACTACAAGGACATTTTATAACCAACAGCTTTCAACATCCGGATTTGATGCATTGTGACTTGTCCTATATTAAGACTTATTCTGCATCCCAAGTTTTATTTGTTTACTGTTTGTTTTCCATTTTTTGATCAATTTGCCAAAAGTTTAGTATTATGAGATCCCAGAAATTATCACTGTTTCATCTTCTCACCAAAGCTTACATATAATACCTTTGAATTTAATAAAATAGTTCTCTTGGATGCAGTGTACTTTGGGTCTTTTTTAAGGTGACAAGGCATAATGGAAAGAGCATTAGATAGGACTTCGGGAGATCTGAGCGCTATTCCCAGCTCTGCCATCAACATGCTGCCTTGGACTAGTCGAATAATTTGCTCTCTTGTGAAGTGAACAACTGACCAAGATCTCTCAAGGGTGATTTACTTTGAAAATTCTATGGTTCTTCAATTCTACATGCTTGTGGAGGCAAAAAACTGACAATGCTTTACTTCAAAATATAAATAGCTTTAGACCTTTCTGGGTGGTCAATCAACCAAAGTGGTTGATAGACAAAGTCAGGTCTCACACTCACACCTGCATGTCCCTGGTGGCCAGGCTTTGCCGCTTCACTGCAGAAACCCTGTAAGCTGTTACATCCGCCACCATCCTTAACCATAGATGGGCCTCGGAGACAAATGTCTTCATGTGTATTTCTCCGCTGAGAATCTTCTTTCATAAACCTGGTAGTTCCAAGAACAAGGAAACCCCCCTCTTGCCAAAATAGCAGAAATATTTGCTCTACATAAAAGATTCTCACATTTTGATGGGATCAGAATCATTGCAAAATTTGTAGATAATAAAGATGCTCCGGCTCCATCCCAACCCCACTGAATCTGAATCTATGAGGCTAGGCCCAGGCATCTGTATTTTTCACCAGCTTCCCACCTGATTCCAGTGCATGGGCAATGGTTGCAAAGACTGAGAAATACTGGCCTAGGTTCACGTAACAATTTGGTGATACCACAGAGTGCAAAATCAAAGGTAGACTCAAATTGAAAACATATTCAAATGTAGCACTTGGTTTTTCTTTCTTTTTTAAACTGTACTACTGTAATTAAATAAATAAAAATGCACAGATTCTACACTTCCATAAATGAACATCAAATTTACCCACATTGCTTCTGGTTTTTAAATCTCATTTTTGTTTTCACTTTGCTCAACAATACAGAATATCTGCTTTCCACACAGTACTACAGAATTTGACCGTGATTAAATATGTCCAACTTGCCCAGTGCTCACTAACAGCATCTGCAATGCCAGCAGCAGAGCTCAGTGGTAACAATATAATCTTCTAAAGCAGGTAGTGATAGGAGGCGAGGTGGGGTGAATCAGAAAACCCGCTGGTCCACCTCAGTTATGCCAACTGTTGCCAAGTAGGAATGAGCAATTTGTGCAGCCAGCTCTTCCAATGTTTCAAGAGAAAGTAGAAATTGTGTTTGTATGTACAACTCTTGCAGTATTTAAATGTTGCAAGCTAATTCAAACATTTTTAAAACATCATTCAGTAATGCTCCATGAAGGCCAAACAACAAAACAAAGCAAAATTCATCAGCCTAGACAGATTAAGAATAAAGGCCTGGTAATCTACTTCCAAAAATTAGCCACTGGAAACCCTATGGACAACAACAGAAGATTGTCCGATATAATACTGGAAGATGAGCCCCCTAGATTGGAAGGCACTCAAAATCCACAGTGGCTGCAAAAACGGACTCAAGCATACCAATGACTGGGAAGATGGCACAGAACCAGGCTGTGCCTCGTTCTGCTACACTTAAGATCACCATGGGCTGGCACCGACTCCACAGCCACTAACAACAACACATTTCACCTGAATGCCACAGGTGTCTACTCTGTTCTAGAAGCTCTGAACTCTCTATCTGAATCAGGGCTTTGAACTGGTTTGTTCCAGTTTGAACCCCTGCTAAGAATTTTCCTTTCCACCCCTAGATATACTGAATCAGAATCTACATTTTAACACGCTCCCCAGGTGATCCTTACATGTAATATCTTTTGAGAACCACTGCTCTACTAGTGATTCTCAGAACTGGTCTCTAACCAGTATTGTTAGCATCTCCTGGGAACTTGTTAGAAATGCAAATTCTCAGCAGGGGTCCAGTTCGAAGCCCTGATCTGAATTCAGTTAGACAGTCAAAACCCCCCACAGAAAAGACTTCATCGAGTTGGCATGTAGTATTCCGCTGTCTGTCTCTACAACTAATGGAATTCTCTGCCATTTTAAAACTATGGGGTTTATATGAGGAGTCACATGCTAAGTTTTTTTTCCCACTCCATAGATAGTTAGAGAGCTCCTGCCCTGTACTAGGCCCTGGGAATATAGTGGAGAGCCTCACCTTAGCTAAGTTTAATATTTGGCTTAGCACATTAAAAATATATAGCAAACTCATTACTCAGTAGTGGTAAGATTAAAAACACAGATGGGCAAAGTCTTAAGAGCTGAGTGATACCTTGGAGATCATTTTATCAGATGAGGCTGAAGCCCAGAAAAACAAAGGCTGAGCCAAGGACACCATGGCTGGCAGGGGTGGGAATTATAACCCAGAGCCTTGCCTTTAGTCTAGGCTCTTCTCACCTCCTCATGCCGCCTCATTTCCAGGGAACCAAGGGGACTGATGAGAAAGTTTGCCAAAGTAAACTAGTAGGCTTGATGCCACTCACAGAGATGACTTGAGTTTGGCAAGTTCTCATTTGGAAAATAATAGAATATTACATCTAGAACTGGCTCAGAATTTTATTCTACATTCATGTAGATCATTATTTCCAGCTAGTCAGAAGTCATTCTCACTTACCTTGCTGTTACTGTTAATTGGCATCAAGTCAATTACGACTCATGGCAACCCCACGTGTTCCAGAGTAGAACTGCTCCATAGGGTTTTCTTGGCTGTAATCTTAATGGAAGCAGATCTCCAGGCCTGTCTTTCTCGGTATCACTGGATGGGTTTGAATCATCAGTCTTTAGGTTAGCAGTCAAATGCAACTGTTTATGCCGCCAGGGACCTTTCTCTTAGTCTAGGATATATAAAACAATAGAAGGGCAAGGAGTTGTTTAAATTACTAAGAACAGGAAAGAAAAAAAAAGTAAGGGCCAAATAGCCAACATTCATAAAATATAGTTCAGGAAAAGAGCATCAACATCAGTGTTAGTAAGAGCTAGGGAAACAAAACTAACAGCATGTTTAGCAGCACGATTAACTCAGCTTCCACTAGAAATATCTTACCTTTACTTGGAACCTTGCCACATACTGCAACTGAATGTAGAGTCCACTGAAGGAGAGAAAGAAAGTATTTTTCTCAGTGGCTACAAGGATAAGTAGTTCTACACACTGCTCTAGAATTTGATTATCTACTAAGCAAGTACTGCCTATAAAATGTAACTATTTTTAAAAGCCATACTATTCTCTGTCTTCAAAGGTAGGAGAAACAGGTGTGCCATAACTGAATTACAAAATTGTTTGAAGCATATTTGAATTTCAGAGGCCAAATGATCAAGCAGGAGACTTTAAAAAGAGAAGTGAAAATGATCCCTGGGTGGGTGAGTATGTCTGCAGGGCGAGGTCTGCTATCATCGAATATAAAGGTAACTCAAAAGGCTCATTCCAAAAGTGAGATTATGGGTGATTTGTATTCTTTTAAAATAATTTTCCAATATTAAGATAACCACGAAGGAAACTAACAATCCTACACATCAAAAAACATACTCAGAAAATACAAAATCAACAACTATGAAAATACATAAAGAAAAATGACTCAGCACAGAAAATTAGGTGAAACAAACTGTCAACAACCCACACACAAAAAAGACATCAAAATAACAGCACTAAACTCATACCTATCAATAATTACGTTGAACATTAATGGACTAAATAAAGAAACAGAGAGTGGCAGAATGGATAAAAAAAGATCAATCTATATGCTGCCTATAGGAGACACACCTTAGACTTACAGACAAAAACAAACTAAAACTCAAAGGGTGGAAAAAATATATCAAGCAAACAACACTAAAAAAAGAGCAGGAGTGGCAATATTAATCTCTGACAAAATAGATTTAAAGTAAAATCCACCACAAAGGATAAGGAAGGACACTACATAATGATTAAAGGGTCAATACACCAGGAGGACATAACCATAATAAATATTTACGCACCTAACGACAGTGCTACAAAATACATAAAACAAACTCCAACAGCCTTGAAAAGAGAGAGAGACAGCTCCACAATAATAGTAGGAGACTTTAACACACCACTTTTGGTAAAGAACAGAATATCCAGAAAGAAGCTCAACAAAGACACGGAAGAGTTATATGCCACAATCAACCAACTTGATCTCATAGACATAAACAGAACACTCTACCCAACAGCAGCCAAGTATACTTTCTTTTCCAGTGCACATGGAACAGTCTCCAGAATAGACCACGTATTAGGCCATAAAGCAAGCCTTAACAGAATCCAAAGCATCGAAATATTACAAAGCATCTCTGCTGACCATAAAGCCATAAAAGTAGAAGTCAGTAACAGAAAAGGCAAGGAAAAAAAATCAAACACATGGAAACTGAACAACACCTTGCTCAAAAACTACTGGGTTATATAAGAAATGAAGGATGGAATACAGAAATTCACAGAATCAAATGAGAATGAAAACACATCCTACCAGAACCTTTGGGACACAGCAAAACCAGTCCTCAGAGGTCAGTTTATAGTAATAAATGCACACATCCAAAAAAGAAGAAAGGGCCAAAATCAAAACATTAACCATACAACTGGAACAAGTAGAAAGAGAGCAGCAAAAGAAGCCCTGGGGCACCAGAAGAAAGGAAATAATAAGATTTAGAGCAAAATTAAATGGAATAGAGAATATAAAAACAATTGAAAGAGTTAATAAGACCAAAAGTTGGTTCAACAAAATCGATAAACCATTGGCCAGACTGACAAAAGAAAAACAGAAGAGGATGCAAATACCCTGAAAAAGAAATGAGATGGGCGATATCACAACAGACCCAACTGAAATTAAAAGAACCATAACCGATTACTATGAAAAATTGTACTCTAACAAATTTGAAAACCTAGAGGAAATGGACAAATCTCTAGAAACTCACTACCTACCTAAACTAACACAAACTGTGGTAGAACAACTAGACAAACCCATAACAAAGGAAGAGATTGAAAAGGTAATTAAAAATCTCCCAACCAAAAAAAAAAAAAAAAAAGCCCTGGCCTGGCCTGGGTGGCTTCACTTGAGAATTCTACCAAACTTTCAGAGAAGAGTTAATACCACTACTACTAAAGGTATTTCAGAGCATAGAAAAGGATGGA